TTTGAGGTTCTGCTACTTCTGATAGCTCCTTCCCTTCCTCACTATTAATGCCATCAGTGACATTCTGCTCAGAATCCATATTCCTAAAATAAAACACAACAATCATATGACGAATAATTCATAAATTTCACATTTCCTACACATTCTAAGACACATACAATTCTCCTATAAGTTTTTTTATTGATCATTATTAAACCTTTACTTTGATACCACTCTTGTCACAACTCAGCCCGGCTAGCCCGAAATAACGGGGCGGGAATAGTCGGTCGTACAAAAAACAGATATAAACCATAATCAATTTCATTTAATTTTTATAATTGAACATGAACATCATCCACAAACAATAAGAAAGAGTCACTAAAAACATCAACCGAAAGTTTTCCAGATTGTTTCTTCAAAACCATAATAACTAAAAACATAAACATCAAAATTATTATAAACTCTAACAAACTTCTCAGATACAAACTACCAACTCAAACTCATAACATGAAACATAAAACTTTTATTCTTGAGGTCTTCTACGATGGTAGGTGTACTTTCGTCTCGTTGCCATTACTTTCCAGATGGTTCTCCTGAAAAAAATAGTCTCACAAGCAGGGGCGAGCTTACTCGCTTAGCAGTTAATTCATATTTTTCATAAACATTTGCATAAAACCAAAATAAAGCATCATTTCATAATAAAACATTAAACGACGGTCAAACTTGCATAAGTTCATAACATTATTTATAAGAAACATTTTCATAAACTTTCCTCAATCTTAAACTTTTCACTTAATATTTTTTCTCAGACATCAACTTTCATATTTCGTAGAAAATATATATAAATCATATTATGCATAATGTCTATTATATCACCCGTCTCGGAGGTGCCCATAAATTTTATACTGATCAAATGCACATTTTCATATCATTTGACCATTCCTTTACCATTGGCTCTAACGAGCCTCTTTTACCATCTGTCTCTTTCGAACCCTTTTACCATTTGGTTCTTTCAAGCCTCTTTACCATTTGGGCACTTCGCATCATCATGGACAGTTTCATATTATAATTTATAATTTATGTTCAGTCAATTATATGCGTAATGAGAATAATTGTAAATAAAAAATTATTTGTTTAAACATGAAAATCTTGAATCTAAACATAATATGAAAGCTTACTAATATCATAAAATAAAAGACTTGAACTTATTATGTGCCAGAAATAAAATTTGAAAATCATATAACTTGAAAAGTTCCAACTATTTGCATTGAATAAAAGAACAGAACATAAATATGAAATTCTTACAAATAATATGAGTACCTACTTGCACCCAAGCACAGTACTTTCCTTAGTGTAGCTTTGACACATCTCGTTCACCTTAAGGATCACAACCTAAATAATCACATAAAAAGACGTGTCACAAATCAATCTTTTTTAAGGTTTAATCTAATTCCTAATTGTTTAAATCCTTTGTTTACCCTTAATTATTTCTTACGACGATTAATAAAATTCATATTATTTAACCTTAATTTTTGGATTTATTAAAATGGTAAATTTTCAATTTCATAAAATTAATATGTCAAAATTATCCCTAAACATATGTTAATAATTAACTTAATTATTTTTGGATTAAATTAATTGAAAAATGAAATTTCTAACAAAAACTCAAAATTTTCTTTTAAAAACATTTCTAAGGCCTTTAGAAATGTTTTTTGTAAAACTACTTTATAGAAATTCAATTTTAGGTAAAATCCCTAAATCTTTGATTTCAAAAAATTCTCAAAGAAAACTCATTTTCATCTATAAAATATTTCCCTAATCTTCCTTTAAGATTTCGTAAAGAAATTTTGAAAGAAAACGAAATTTTGAAAGCCCTAAAAAAATTGTCTCCAAATAACTTGAGATTGAGAGAGATTCATTTCAAATAAAACATACCTAAAGATTCCCCTCATCGTCCTCTTCGATTTACACTAATTTTCTTGCCGGAAAATCGCCGACAGAGCCTTGCCCGTCCGCCTCTAGCCGTTCGCTCCTTTGCTTCTTCCGCTCGTACCATGCAAAAATGAGGGAAAAGGGGTTCGATTATTATATTAGAGAGAAAGGGGATTGCCAATTGACCCATATACCCTTACTTAAATAAGTCCGGCATAAGAAAAGGTTAGGGGTAGTTTTGGTATTTTTAAACTTCTAAATTTTATAATTCCCAAAATAAACAAAATTAAGTATAGGTTTATATATTAAATCGTTCAAAATTTTACGTAGAATTTTATAAAAATACTTCCGTCGAAATCCGTTAAATTTGAATTTTCACTTAAGTTTCGTCGCGACGCATAGAAATGCGTGCGACGATCTACGATCGTCGTTATCGGATTTTACATCATGGAGGGGAGAATGGGTTGTATAAACAACAGAGAAGCAAATCAAAGGATTTTTCACGCTTAATTTGCCACTAAGCTATTTGTTTAGATTAATCCTTTTTAATAGGCAATTAGAGCAAGTTGGTGTGCCAGCTTGGCTACTGAGATTTGGCTTTTTGTATTGTCAGTCCTTTTTAAAATTTTTTTTCTAAGTGAATAGCTTCCATTCCATTAGTTTAAATTGATATTCTAAAGTGGTTGTTGCTTTCATCATTGTATACTACTTCTGACTTTCTATGTACTCTAGTCATTGGATTAAGTCAATTATAGTTCAATTACTGAAGTGAGAGCAATTATTGAATTTGATATGGTTGCATGAACAATAAATTCGAGAGAGAAATGAAATACAATTAAAGTAAAAAATAATAGAAGCAAACTTGCTTCAACGTTTCGGAGCAGTCCTCAATGCAGTATGTTAGGAGATAGGGAGTGACATTAAAATATTAAGATGGTTGCATAATCGATAATTAGATTTAATGCATAACATCAGCCTTCTACACTTTACAACTAATTCCAAACTTTAGGCTAATTTTTATAATATTTGAAAATTGAAAAATCCATCTCCTCGGTGACAGAATTACCTACCACTGAAGTTTTAAATGCTCTTGTCCAAGCCCAAAATGCCAAATCATTGGGTCTAACTTGTTTTGTAGTGACATTGGCAGAGAAAAGAAAAGCTTTTTCTTGATTTCCACTAGATTTAAAGAATACAATTTTGAATCATTTGTCAATAGGCTTCTCATCGATTGTATCCCTATTTTCAAAATTGAAAGAATGTTTAGAATTGGATTCCTGCCACCCTCCACATCATTAGGAGTGGCTAGCATCAACTGAAGAGGGAAAATGCCACTAGATCCATCCTACATTGGTTGATTTAGTAGAATTTAACTTCAACATCAAGATCCAATTCTGTCATCACGTCCTTACCCTTTGTTGTATTGATGTTGGGAGCTAGTATTTGATATTGAGAATTTGATGGCTTGATGCCATAAAAGAAGCAAATGCATTTTTAGCAACAATATCAAGCTCCATATTAGAGATCACATTTCAAATTTGAGCAATAATATAATATTGATATTTATCATAGATATATGTAGTCATATTATTAACATCTTCATTCTCTGAAGAATTTTCCTTCCTTAAGAGAACTTGAATCCACCAGGGGGCATTGCCATTAACTTGAACTGAGCACAGAGTATGGTTTTCATTATTTATCTCCAACGTTTTAACATCATAATCAATAGTATCGGTTGGTGCCATGGAAATTATTTATGGCCACCTTTTAACATCATAGTCAATCTCTGCTCCACTCTCAATACCCTCACATCACTAATTTCATCAGCTTTCTTCCTAGCTTGTTTCAAATCAATGGGGATAGTTGAGCATTCTGAACTTGAAAGCCTATACTTTATACAATGAGAGAAAAAGGAAGGCATATTCTCAAACTTGAATCTTTGAATGCTGCCAAAATTCTCTAAGTCCAGCCATGTTTTCCTTTCAGATTTTTTCAGTTACATTTATTTCCACCATAACTTTTAACTATTGATGATCTAGATAGAGAGGTAGTGGCTACTTTCAATTTGAGAGGTTGGCCAAAATTTGAAATTAGTAAAAATAATGTGCTTGGTTTTACAGGAATTCTTGGAAAACTGTCCAATCTAAGGCAATCAATGATTCTTCCTTTCTGATGAAGCACAACATCCATTTAAAAAGCCTTAACAAAATTCCCATCAAGCCTTCATCTGGGCATTTGTACCCACCCTGCATATTGGTATTTAGATGTAGGGGCAATCTTTCTAGTGTTTAATCATGACTCAGAATCTATTACTAAGCCCTCTATTTATGGCTTATCCATCAACATCAATATGGATATATCATCTTTTGATTTCCCATTGGAAATGAGGACAATCCATTTCGTGTTCAAAGAGCCATGCACATGCCTTCTTTGTAATGACATACACCATCTCAGGACCTAAAACTGATTACGCGTAATCTGGGCAGTTTGATTAAAATTCATTTCATTTTAGAACAATCTTGATTGTTAGCAGCCTACGTGATTGTTTTGCATATAATTTATAAATAAATGCAAGCGAAATAGGTGTTTTTGTATGTAACCACTTACATGCCCTTGAATTGACACATGCACACATACATGCTTGCACTTGGATGCTGGCTTGTGGTTGCCCAATGAAAATACATTTAGGATTCTGCCAACATATTTAAGTGTTTTTTAACTTGAAGGCTAATTGTTGTTTTGTCATTCTAATAGGCATAGTTCATATATATATATATATATATTTCAATTGAGCTTGAAAATTCTTCTTTTGATTAATTTTCTATGCAATTATTAGCTCTTTTCCATGTTGAATTGTTGTGGGATTTTTTAGTTTGAAGTTTATCCTCTGGTATATTTTCCATTTTGCATGGCTTGTTTAATATAGCGTATGAATAGATTCTTAATTTTGTAAAGAATGTTTTTTTAACGAAGCACTCAATGTTTATTTGCCAAATTATTTCGACATAATTTATAATTGGATTATTGTTCTTGCACAGTTATTATTTGAGTTATTTTGCTTTATTTAGATTTATTATGAATTTCTGCAGACAATTGAGAGCAGCCCTTCTGATGAAAATAGTGGGGATGAAGATGTTACACTGTCTCAACTGGTAATTTTATATTCTTGTGTCAATACTTGGTGTTATAGAACTCATTCATTATGTGTTTTCTTTTAAATTTACGCTTTGATCTATATTTGGTTTATTTAATACTATTAATTTATTTAATTTTTGTTTTTTCGCAGAGTTTGATTGATCTATGTTTGGTTTATTTAATACTATTAATATATATTCATTTTGTTTTTTTTTTGCAGAATTTGATTGATCTTGCAGGTTCAGAAAGTTCGAAGGCTGAAACCACGGGCTTGAGACGGAAAGAAGGTTCATACATAAACAAAAGTTTACTTACCCTTGGGACTGTAAGGCACAATCCTTAAATTTGTTTTCTTGAATATTGTTGCTTCGATTGGGTTCAGTTTCATTCCTTAGAATTCAATTTTTGCATTTGCACTTAATTTGAATCCAGTTTAAATGGTTGTCTGGTGCTGGCAGATAAAAGGTGGCCATAAATAATAATAAGAAATGCCTGCACAATTAATTTTTAAAATAATAAAAAGCTTTTAGCCCATTTTTTATTGAGACATGCCTTAGTATGCCTCATCGAGCCAAGTTGAGGTATGCGCCTCATGCTCTTTTTTTTAAAATTACATTGAAGTGGCCTTTGAGGCGTGCTTGCTATTGCATAGTTTTAAACCATTGTAAAAACATAGCCTATTTATGGATTTAAATGGGGCATTTTTAACTTTTCTATGAAATGTACTGATTTAGCACCCTTAGATCAATTGGCTTAAATCTTCCCCCATTAGTTTTGATAGTTGTCGGACATTTGGATGTCCAAAAACTTGGATTTTAAAATTTTTTTACTCAAATTTCAAAGCTTGTAGATCATGAAATGACTTGTTTTGACTGCAAATACATTGAAAAAAGAGTTTATTTGGCCCTACAAATGCTTTAGGGAAGTTTTTGGCTCATATCTCGAGTGTTTTTTATTTTATTTGCATTAAACTTCTTGCATAATCAACTGAAATTTTAGGTGACACTTCTTTTGCCACTTAATTTTTAAGCTTGAAGTCTACATGTTTTAAAATAATTTTGTACGTGGACAATACTTCATATAAAGAATGAGACATTGGGGAAATTTAAAGATGTGACTACTCTTTGGATTTCAACTTGGTTCTTACTTTCAGGGCTATGAATCATGTTTTGAAATCTTAGTTATACTAATACGCGTTGTAAAAGATTCATGATCATAATCACAGTTTTCATGCAAGTGTTCCACAAAATTAAAGCAAAAAATCTCTGTTTTTTAATGTTGTAAAGTTGATCGCAGAACAACGGTCCTAAAAGGCCCTAAAATTCCAAAAATAATATAAAATGTGATTGTTTTGAGTCATTTATATTTGTTTTTCTTTTGCTGAATTTTAACATAGTTTTTTAAATTTTCCTATTTATGTTTCCTCTAGATATTCATAAAACTTATATTTAATTTCAAATATTCCTAAAAGTATTTTTTTAATAAAATCCATCATAATCTAATTTTTGGTTTAGAAAAACCAAATTTTTTGTTGTTGTTTAGAAGGTTAACTTTGATCATGGGCTGAGGTTCAGTACATTTCATCGAAGTTCTGATCATGAGGATGATTATGTTAGTTGTATTAAATTTGAACCTTGGATTTAGTCCTTTTATTAAAAAATATTGACTCTTCCAAATACTTTGCTGGGAGGTCGAAGAAGAAGATTAAGTCGATGGTGTGTTTGATAAGGGCCGGTATAGAGAAGGTGAAGGAAGACTTGCAAAGAAGATTTGTAGTGAAAAGATTACCAATTCTTTTTTTTTTTTTTTAACGTTTGCGCTATTTGTCATCTTATTTCATCTTCCTTGTGCGTTTTGCTCTGTATTTTTTTGTTGTAGAATTTACTTCTTATTTTCGTTATGTATTTTTTGTTGTAGATTTTTCTTTTGTTTTCTCCCACCAAATTTTCGGGCATCTTCATCTATTTTACTTTAAGGATATTATTATTTTTAGGATTTCTGCAGGTGAGAGGATTTACTGACCGGAGGTGGATTTCATAGTTTGATGGGATAATCGACGAATTGACTTGTTGCTAAAGTTGACGAGCTAGCAAAGTTGATGGAATTTTCCTTGGTGGCTTGGGTTGCGAGAGAAATTCATCTGAGTTGCAGAAATTTATGTGGAATTGATGAGGACAGGTAATTTGTCAAATTGGTCATCGTAAGTTGGGTTCGTAGTTGCTGAGTCAGAGGAGGAGACATGAACAGGATGTTCGTTGAGCAGATAATGGAGATGAGTTGCGATTTTGTGTTCGTTTGCTTATCAAAGTTGTAATTTAGTTTCTACAACAGAGAAATTAATGACTATAGAGGTCATTTAAAGGAGGCTACTTGCAAGTTGAATAGTCATCGCTAGAGTAAGGAGATGAGAGTGCGAGCATAGAAGTATGTGCTTTGGGGACTTAATAACTGAGGGAGAGGCAGAGGAATTGAGGGAGAGAGAGTGGCTGAGGTAGTTCGAGGGTCAAAAAGTGAGAGAGTTTTTTAAGTTAGATTTTTTTTTATATAAAAAAGGATTGGGTCGCTTGTGGTTCGGGTATGGATTTTCTTATATAATATGACATTAATTGTGCTAAACATATATTTTTATATATGTTATATATATATATTCTTTATAGTGACATGTGTGTTAACTCTTGTTCGTCAAATTTCATGTTTTTGACTTGTTTCAAACGTTTTATTTGCCATACTGTGTGCGGTTAAAATTTTAAACTTTTTCTCCTGCACTGAATTTGGTGATGCATTATTTTTTCTGGGTATTTGATATTCTGATCACGTGGCATGGTTCATATTGAAAAATGAGTGACGATTTAGTACTTTTTGGTTGCGAGTGGGACATCTTGAATTAGTCTTTATGTAGTGTTGCATTTGTTTTCTGTCCTTGTCATATAGTCTTATCCAGTTGAGTTGTGGGGCAGACATGGAGGTCAACAAATATTGGTAGGATTGAAGTTGTATTTTATTTACTTCCCTTCTCTCTCCTTTTCCTCTCTTTTTTCTGTTTAATTTACAATTCTGCTGCCTATCTGGCATCACATCAATTTATTAGATTTATTAAGAAATATAATACGTAATCATGATGTAGTTCGTTATATATATTAGCATTTTATATGAATTTTTGATGCGTTGTGCTTTTATATGCTGATGGACAGTTACACTTTCGTCATTGTCTTTTGTGGTTGTTCGTATCTTGAAAGATTTAGCTCTGTATTACATAATAATGAGATATATACTTTCTGGAAACTTGGAATATGCTTTGTGCGGCAAAAAAGTAACTGCTCATATTTGTTCAGCATATTTTTATTTTAACAGTTAAATGCTACTTTGCTTTAGCTGCTTAATCCTATGTAACACCCCACAGTATCACTATACCGTACTGTAGAGTGTAACAATACCTGATAATTATTTTGGGTTTTACATCCTAATCGGCCATTGTTGCTGGAATAAACACGGTTGTCTTGGTTTTATTTCTGAAAAAAATTGGGTTGTTTGCTAATGCATTCTATGTTATTCCACCATCAGGTGATCTCGAAATTAACTGATGACAAGGCTACACACATTCCTTATAGAGATTCAAAGCTCACACGCTTGCTTCAGTCCTCTCTTAGCGGGCATGGAAGAATATCTGTAAGTTCTGATACATCTATATGCTTTCTTGTTTTAATGGTTGCATTGTCATTCTTGCTGAGTTAGTGTTGGTTTTATGAAATTATTTTACCTACTTAGCATTGACACTGATTTTAAAAGGTAAATTTTCTTTCTTATATGCTTATTCTCTGTTTTTTCCCTTCGCACTATATTAGCTTATTTGTACAGTTACACCGGCTTCTAGCAATAGTGAAGAGACTCATAACACCTTGAAGTTTGCCCACAGAAGCAAGCATGTTGAGATTAAAGCTTCTCAAAATAAGGTTTTGTCCTGGTTGAATTTTCCATTTTGCTTCCATGTAATTATGTCTTTGAGTTACCTTGCTCGATATTTTTGTAGATAATGGACGAGAAATCTTTAATAAAGAAATATCAAAGGGAGATCTCTTGCTTGAAAGAAGAACTGCAACAGTTAAAGTGTGGCATGATGGAGAAGCACTGTTCCTATGATCAGGAAGACATTGTTAGTCTGAAGCTTCAGGTTTGTGTCCAAAGCAAGTCATATCAACTCTAAAGAAATATGGTTAGATGGATCGCTCATTAGAGGTTTATTCTTTATCACGTGACTTTCCCTCAAATTGTGTCACACCCCAAACATAACTGAGTGAAAGATTTGGACAAAGATAATTCTCACCCAACACCCCTCCTGATTTAACTATTTGGAATCGGATGAATGAAAAGTTGTCTAACTCAATCCTCCTCTAATCTACGTGACAATCAACATCTAATAACGCCATCATAGGATTAAATGGAAGCATAAATAAAATCATCAATTCAAATATAGAGCTTTTAAAATACATTAAATAGAAATTCATACGTATCAAAAGTCTCTACTTCACAGCATACACATCTTCTATAATACTCAAAATGTTATTTTACAAAGAAAAACTATTTTCTTGTCCTCTATTTCACATGCTCTTTTCTTTTACTTGAAATCATAGTATACATAGAAAGAGCTAAAACTCAGCGCAATGAATTATTTTGACATAAAGTTCAATATACAAAGAAAGAGATTAAAATGCAATATAAATTCGTCTTTTTCATTAGCATTCAAAACATGAATAACTTGCAGTAGATTTAAATTCAATAAATGTTGTTAATTATCTGTACGAAGTATTGATTCTGAAATAGCAAGTAAAACTATTACATGAAAAATGTAACTGATATGAAATTTCTTATTTTCATTCTCTTCCTCATTATTAAGGATCAATACATTCGATGTGTCATATCATGCTTTTAAGCTCTGCCCCTTGGTATCAACGTCACTTTAATACAGGTTGGACTATTCCAACTCTTCCATATTAAGAATCAAGAATTTTCTTTTTATTTTTCTGATACAGGCTAAATCGTTCTAACTTTCCAGTATCAAGAGTTAGGAAAATGCCGAATTATCAAGTTCCTTTCGTTATAGGATCAGAAAACCTATACTGGGGTTGATTCATACCCTGAAGTCCTCAATCTTCGAATTCAATCCGACTGGGCATACTAGAAAGGGAAGGTGCCCTTTCGACCTCTCCTTACGGGGAGGGAATGTCGAGATGCTGCTGAAATTATGCCGCGAGACAGCGAATTTGTCTGGGAGGCTATTGAATTTTCTAAAATCTTTGAGAGCTTTATCAATTAATTGACTAAAAAATAATTAATAAAAATACAAATGATTAATTAATGTGATTAAAGAATTTTAATTAAATTAAAGTCTAATAAATTAATAACCAACAACAACAACAACATCAAGCCTTTATCCCACTACGTGGGGTCAGCTACATGAATCCTTTTTCTCCATTGTGTCCTATTAAAAGCCAAATTCTCGTTTAAATCTAATAAAGAAAGGTCATTCCTAATATTTTCTAACCAAGTCTTTTTAGGTCTACCCCTACCTTTCTTAACACAAGTCAAATCTAATACCTATACTCTCCTAACTGGGTCGTCGGAAGGCGACACGGACACGACACAACACGGACACGAGACACGACATTTTTTTAAAAATATAGGACACGGGTGCGACGTGAACACGGCATAATAAATTTTTAATATAATATATAAAAATTAAGGTGACATTATTGTAAAAATGTCATGTAATAATAAATCAATTTCATGATAACTTGTTTAGCTTATAACATAAAGATGTTTAGTACAAAATGTCTAGTACAAACACAAAAATATAAGCAAAAAATCATTTAATACAACATGAAGGTCTAACTACTCAATAGAGGGAATGATAAAATTAGATTCAGATGTTGGTCTTTGGCCTTCAATATCATCATCATTGAATATCATTGCTTCCAACTCTGATTCATCTAGAGAAAGATTTGCAACCTCTAATAATCCCATATCATCAAGGCACTCGAACCCTTCTCCAGCAACATCCCACATCTTGTTATCACCTGTTATATAAAGTGGGGTTTTCCTTGATAGAAGACGAGGATTTGTATGCACATAAACTAAATCTTCAGCACGTTGTAGAGTTATTTTATTCCTCTTCATTGATTGAATAAATGAGTATGTGCTCCAATTTCTCTCACAACATGAAAAGGATGATACTTGACCAAGAAGTTTTATTGCTATTGTTTGAAGAAACGGTGCTGAAGCTTCCCACCACATTTTTGGATCCATCCTCCATCTATCAACCAAAGATTTTTGATCACCAAAATCCTCTAAATATCCAAAGAACTTTGCAAGTTATATATTAATTTTTCTTCTCTCATCCTCATTTGGAAAATATATTTTCAGGCATATCTTTCTCATATTTGAAACTTTTAAATCTTTTTGTGGTGAGACACGTTGAGGGTTTTCTTGAAGCCATTCTTTACTTGAATACCTTTAAATAATACAAATCATATAAAATTATATGTTCATTTACCAAGAAATTTAACTTAATTTAAAAGATAAATATAAATATATGAATGAGCCAAACAATGCAAAGGTGTGTTGCTTTTGCTCCACCTATCTTCAAGAATAGTATATAATTTCATTCACTTTTGCTAACATAGAGTCCCACATCTCATAAATCAAATGTAGACATGATTTATCTGTGTCAGCCTCTCTCAACATATCATAAATTGGATCAATGAAAGCCAAAATGTAATCTACATTATCCCACCACAAATCATCTAAGACTTTTTCTTTAACATACATTGCCTTCCCAACATTATCTTCTCGATAACAAGACCATTTCTCACTAATCACCATAGATTGAAGAGCTTTTTTAATTTGTTTGAATCTTCTCAACATGATTATTACAGAGGCAAAACGAGTTTCAGCAACAGCTAGCATTTTCAAGTGGGAGAAATCATTAAACATTGAAAGTCTCATAGAATGGTTCATAATAAAATTTCTGATTAGAACAACATCATCTGCAACCACTGTTATCCAATGACATTCAACATAGATGATTTCATTAGCCTCTGTATTCTTTGCTGCACAAATATTTTTTAGAGCAAGATTTAAAGTGTGCACAACACAGGGTGTCCAAAATATATGGGGATAAGTTTGCTCCACCAATAATCCTGCAGCTCTACACACCGGTGCATTATCTGTAATAACCTGCACAACATTTGAAGTCCAAATCATGACTATCACCTCTTTAATCAAATTGGCAATAAAATGTTTATCCTTGTATTCTCCTTCACAATTCACTGCTTTAATGAACATTGGATAATTCTCTGTAACGGTCATGAAATTAATAAGGGGTCTTCGGCTCCATAATTTTCTAATAAGTAAAAAGGTCTTGCATGGCTCCCTTCAAGGAGCTAAGTTTTCTAAAAATTAAAACAATCATGCATAGCCTAAATGTGTTGCATATAGAAAGAATTATATAACAAAAGTCTTTTTCTTTATGAGTCAACATTTGCATACTCACATAATTAGGCATATTGGCCTCAAAGCCAAGCTATAAGCCCTATCTTCTAAATAAAAACAACTCTACCACTCTACATTTGCATTGAGACCGAATAACATGATTTTAAAAGCGATTAGGGGGAGTTTAGCTGGTAGTCCCTTCCAGGCGGGACAATAAATCCAGAGGTCGGGCGGGATATGCCTCTTGTGAGGTGTAGCTTGTAAGTCCCTCTTTGCACTCGTTAGATCTAGGTTCGAGGCACTACCTGTCGGTAGTCCTCACCTTAGTCTTAGGGTCCGAGGCATGAGTTGATTCCAAATCACCCTATAAGGCCTCATCCTCCGGGCAATTCCTCCAACAAGCGTTGTTGGGATGTAAGCCCCAATCTTCTAATAAAATATCAACTTAAACCAAAATTAAGTTGCTAAAATGTAAAGCCCAACATAGG